ATTATTATTTCTCAAAAGAAGAACAAAATTATTTGTAATATATCTCTTTTCTTTAAATAAATTTTTATTCACACCTTATTTACTTTTTAGCAAGGAGTAATTTTATAAACAGTGTGAAGTCAAACTTTAATTTTATTTTGGTGTGGCGCCGAAACATATTTGACAATAATGGTGCATTGGTGTTTAATTTTATCGTTTTTAAATAAATAAAAAAATTTAAAAAAATAATATGAATAACTAAAACTAATCACAAAGATTACTCCCAAACCGGTTCAAATTTATTAATAACGGTACGTAGTCAATACTCATACACGTTTTTGTCCGACCATTTTTTCGCATGGTCTCCTACTAGAATTCGAAGAATTTGAGTGTTTTAATCTAACATTATAAAGCTTGTTCTTTTTGTTAGACAATAACAATAAATAATAATAATAATAATAATAACAATAGTAATAATAATAATGGTAGTCTTTGTATTTTAATCACGTTTTAATTTTGATGCTTATTCTTAATTGGAGTTATTATATACTTCGTATATTCTTCTCCTCACTACAAGAAAAAGAGTGTTTCGCCGCACATATTTTACCACACATAGCTAAGTGCGGCAAAAAATTAAGCCTTTTACCATTTATCCACACTTATAGTGGGGCTCTTACATTTTTGTTAATCTCAACTCTTATTAAGTGCTCCTATTGACATATTATATGAGTCTGTTTGAGAATAACGTCAGCGATTAACATTTTTGAAAAGGCTATCTTCGAGCAACATTTAGTGTTAATGTTTTAAAGTAATCTGCACCGTTAAAATCTTATCCAAATCGCTAACGCTAGTCTCTAACGATATTCCCAAACAGACCCTGTGAATAATACTCCCTCCAGTCCTTAAAACCATTCCCATTTTGACTTTAGGCCAAAATAAGGAAAGTGTAATTTTGGTTGACTTTATAATTTTTTTCCCTGATGTAATGAGTAAAAAGTAAGGTGTGATAGTTTGGTTATTAGTGAAAAAATATCATGTGATAGGTAAGTTATGAAAAAATAAGGGTAAAAGTGATTTTTTAATAGAAAGTGTTTAGTTTAGAAAATTAGAAAAAAACGAAAAGGAAACGGTTTTATAGAACGGAGGAAGTATTAATACTCCATTATTCAGTACTTTTCATATTGAACTTAATTGAAAACAAAAGAATACAAATCTTATGAAACTATTTTCTTAGTAAGAAACATTGTTAACCATATACTTCCATTGTCTCATAAAGGTGTTCCTATTTTAATTTTTATGAAATTTAAGGGGGAGATATTTTTGCGTTACTTTCCAAAAATACTCTTAATGTGACAGATAAATTATTACTCTCTCTGTCCCACAAAAAGTTCACATTTCGATGTGTTTTTGGTCAAACCGTTACACGCTTTGACCATAAATTAAATATAATCTAAATAAAGAAATGCTAAAAAAATTTGAGATATCAAAACTAGATCCTAAGATGAATCCAATTATATTAAATTTATTTTATAATTCAATATACATTTATTGCAATTTGTAGTCAAAGCATGTAAATAGTTGACTAAATACTATTCAAAATGAGAATTTTTTTGTGGGACAGAGGGATTAGTAAAAAATATGATGTGATAGTTAGATTAACAATTAGTATGAATAAAAGTGGTTTTTAATAATAAAAAAAGAAAGAGTTTGTAGGACAAGAAAGAGAAAAAAAGTGATGAAGTTTTAATGGATCAAAACTGTGCACCAATTAATTAATTAATTTAATTAAATTAATTAATACAACTTAAATAATTATGTCATTTTGGAAACGGATTAAATAATCTGATTAATAGTTTCAAATTTTGGAAAAGATTTGAAAATGAAAGTTTTCCTACCGGCGGGTTGATACGCTGCCATTTTCAGCGCACATGCGATGAACTCAACATTGCTCTCAAGTTTCTTTTTTTTTTTTTGAGAAAAATTGTTCACAAGTTTAAATCTCAACGAAATAGCAGCGTACTTATTCAAATTCTGAGGGAAACCTCACTTGGTATTAACTTAGCCTAAAACAAGACAAAAATAGTCACACACAAAAATAGTCAACACACAAACACTCAACATCTACGCAGGCACATATATAAAGTCTCGAAGTGTACCACAGGATCATGTTTTCTTCAATTTATTTTTATTATTGTTTTTATTAAAATAAAAAATAGAAATAATTTTAAATATACCTACATTCATACCAGATCAAAATTTTGTTCCAATCAGACCAGAACCATTCAAATAAAGTAAAGAGAACATGACCCATGCGAGGTTCTCCAGATATTTTTCTCAATTTTTTGTCAACTCTTATGTGTGTGTGCATTATGTTTTTTTATATAATTGTATATTCCTTCATTTCCATATTTAATATTATTCAATAATTGACCATACATAAAAATTAAGAAAAGTTAAAATCTATAAACGTGATGTCGATAAAAGAGAAATAACAATAGCCACACTAGCTACTAAATATGGAAAATAAAACTCTTTTTTAGAAAGGACAAAAAAGAATGTAGAACACTTTTGCGGGATGAAGGGAGTATTGCCATGATTTACAATATTTAAATTCTCCTCCGTCCCACCAGAGACCCTCTTGCCATTTGATTGTCTCACCCTAGTCCCTAAATGCATAGGAAGGTAATTGAGGAATGTTTTGATTGTAAAATTGATAATTTTTTTGCTCTAACCTCTCATTAAACCCCTCGTCCTTTGGAGATCTTCCACTCCCTCTAGTTGCATTATCCAAATTAATAACATAATACTAAAGTCCAAACCAATAAGTGTACCAAAAGATTTATCCAGTATGTACTAACACAATTAAAAACTTATTCTCTTCTATTTATTACAAAGTATTTTTGTTTATTATTTATTCTTATTACATCCATTCAGATCAAAATTAATGAGATAACTATAAAAGAATAAGCCCCCCAATTCCCCAAGTTTTATTTTGCCAAAAAAAGAATGTTGCCACTTTTAACTTGTAAGTTTAGTGTCGGCCAACCAAGGTCCCTATATGTCAGTCCCACAAATGACTCTTCATTAGGATGTGAACGGGTCCACGGAAAAAAATATTCCCTCCCTTTCATAATATTTCATTTGTTACGAGTTACAATATTTGATTAAAATTATTTTTAAATTATTCTATTAAAATTATATCAAATTATTCTATACAAAAAGTGGTATGAATTTAAAAAATAAAATTTCATATTTAAAAACTACATGAAAAGATCTACAAAATTAGAAGTGACATGATTATATTATTTTATCGAATAGTACACGAAAATAGCCCAACAAAGTGAATAAAGTTCGACTCTGTTAATAGTGAACGAAAACTTTATTATTGGACGGAGGGGTAATCGATAACACATTTCAACTAACATGTAAAATTTGATAAGTTTTAAAATCATTTTTATTATAAATTGGTATAAAAATAAAGAGTAGAATTGAATCATTCAAAAATATATAAAAAATTCTACAAACAAGAAGTGACAAGAATATTTTATTTTATAGTAAATTCCATAAAAATTCACCAGTTATGGTTTGTTTTACATATTTTGTCCCTACATATCAAATATCAATAATTTAATCTCCAATTAATATATTGTTTTCCACGAATGGTCCTTTGTTAATATTTCTGTTAAAAATGTGGATAAAATTGTAAATTCACGCTCCTCTCTCTCTTCAATTAAGCTTCCTCTCTTTTCTTGCACTCCTTTTCCAAACCCGTCGCTGAGTTTGAAGTTTTGAATTCAAAACCGAAATCATCACTCATCTCTCAATTGTTCGTCTTCTTGGTAGAATCCAAAATCGAAACTAATAATCTTCATGAATGAGTTTTAAGGTTTGTTTCTTTGCAATTTTCTGAGACTATCCCATAAAACTCATCCATGAAGGTTATTGGTTTCGATTTTGGGCTCGATTAGGAAGATGAACAATTGAGAGATGAGTGATCATTTCGATTTTGAATTTAGAGGTTCAAACTCAGTGACGGGTTGGTAAAGAAGTGCGAGAGCAGAGAGAGAGCTTAATTGAGGAAAGAGAGGAGCATAAATTTACAATTTTTTCCACGTTTTTAACGAAAATTTTAACAAAGGACAATTCGTGGAAAACAATATAATAATTGGGGACTAAATTTTTTATATTTGATATGTATGGACTAAATATGTAAAATGAACTATAAATGGGGACTTTTTAAGAAATTTACTCTTTATTTTATCAAATAAGTAGCTAAAACACACAAATTAATAAAAATTATCTAACGTCCATTTTGGGACGGAGTCAAGGAGGGAGTAAAATTAGATTGTGTTAAAAGAAATATCATGAATAAATCAAATGAAATAAATATGCCACATTGGGTTGAATTTTTATATGTAGACATAATATTTACTCCATTGGAGTAATTTAAACAATACGAATCTTAAACGAGTTGGAATTGCATACATTATAATCGACTCTTTATTATAGATAAATATCGGATACATTCTCAACCTATTAAACCACATAAAGTTACTGTCCCCACTGGTGTCTGAACTTGTGACCTCCCATTAGGGAGTCACCTTGGTACCCATTCTTAGTTTATCTCTTAAAAACTTCACCTGTATGATTAAATTTTATCTCATACTATTTGTTTGACACAAGTGGATTGTTGATGCCAAACTCATCTTCTTCACTGCATCAACTTCTGTTACAAATTGACTAAGTAAAAAAACAATAAGCAGCAATGAAAATGGAATCCACAGTTGAGATCTCAAAATGAAATTGGTAGTGCCATTTCTTATGACAGTTAAACAACAAAAAATTATACACTAATAATACAGGTTGCACCGGGCATATGCGTCTATGTTCTCCACAGTGAAAACAAAGTAAGAGTACAAAAACATATGACCTTTGCGTAGTACTAAACCTTCACGTGCTGCCTCATATGTTTTCGCTGATGTTCCCATGCTTCGGTATTTAATGCGTGGCAATGCGCAGATAACCCATTCCAGTGTCGACAGGGAGCAGAAACATCGCACACATAGCAATAGCACTGACCAAACAACAAAACCAAAGCCAGCTGGTTTAAGGTCTAAAAATGTTTTTTGGAGTCAATTAATGTGAAAGGAATGGGGTTAATGATGTTACCAGATTACAGTGTTTCTCATGAGGTGTTGTGTTAAAGGGGAACTTAACACAGGTATGCCTTGGGTGTGGAAAATCTCTACATGCCACCACCTATACCAACAACAAGAAATGCTGTCATAGATTATATAGTATGAAGTAATAATAAATGCATACATACTTGAAGAAAATTGACATTCAAAGCTTGTTAAGATCATTGATCAACCAAAGTTAATACCCTATCTATCCAGATCTAATTGTCCACCTTCCAAAGCATCAAAAACTTAAAGAATGAATTGAAAATAACAAAAAAAACCCAATTTGTTCTCCATCCATTTTACAACAAATAACCTAGTAAAATTCCATAAAAGATAGGGTCTCGGGAATATGTGTATGCAAACTTTACCCCTACTGAGAATAGAGAATCTTTGATTACTAAATACTTATAAATAGACAATTAATTTCAGATGCAACAAAAAACTTAGAAAATGGACTACTAAACTTGGATGAGGGATTATAATTATAAATTTCTAACTTGATACAAGAAGCATAAGATTACACAAGTCAAGAATCATAAGTTTCTTGCAATAGAGAATAAAAAAAAGAGTAGAGGATCAAAATGAATAATAACAATTTGGTTAAACACAAATGGATACAGAGGCCGAATTGCACAAGAATAAAATCATTGATGATCGCCCAAGATGAAGTTAAACAGCAGAAAATGAAGAAGTGGATTTTTTTTTTTTAAAAAAGAACGGGAATGAAGACCTAGTTGCCAGATTTCTAAGCAAATCACACAATTCGTCATCAAAATCTCACTAAAATCAAACCAGTTTAAATGAATTGAGAGGAGCATATATACACTGCCTTTTTCTGCTACAACGGCCATTTCCGGATCCTGATAATCAGAAACAGAGCGTTTGGAATCGAAAGGATCAAAATCCAGAATAAAGCACTCCTCTTTATCATCGAATTCGCGCAGTTGCTCCCTTTTTTTCAGGCAGAAAACTGCTCTAAGCGGAGTTCCCTGTGGCTCATCCTCAGAAGCCGGGGAAGAAGAAGAAGAAGAAGAAGACAAATCGACCACCACTGCCGGCGGGTTAATCTTCGCTGCCTTTTTGTAACCCATTTTTGGGTGAAGATGGGAACTGTCTTCTGACGGTCGGTGCCGGAAGCTGTTAGGCGATCATATTTGAATTTTGAATTGCAGCGGAAGAGCGGCAGACGGCAAAGTTTCTCCCTCTCTGATGAAGGAAACGAACAATGGGGTTTGTATTAAGTGCGGAGTACTTGGATAAGTTGGATTACCCTCTTTTTGGCCTCTTTAGGGAAAAAATGTTGAGCAAAAAAAATGTAAATTTTATAATTAGTTTTTTTATAATATAAAATTTTCCATAGCTAATCTTTTATTACTAAATATTACATTAATATTTTTTTATAGATATTTTTTCACGAATAGCCCCTTTTTGACATAATGTCATGTTATTGTATATTTAAGGATTAAAAATATAATTTGACATCAAACATATGTCCAGTGACATATTATGAAGCTGTTAAACGAACCACACGACAATAATAACTATGACTGTGGACTATAATTCTCACTAAAGATCAAATCGGTGGACTATGGTTGTAGTAGACAACGATTGCGGTTTACAAACTACGCATCAGGAGTGATCACTGACATTTTGTATTACAAGAAAGATATATATGATTATTGTAAAATTACAATTTTAGTCTTCAAATTAGCACTAATATGATAGAACATTAAAAAATGACTATTTATGAAAAAGATACTCATAAATAAAGGACCACAAACGTAATATTTGGCAATAGAGATGCTCATACTTCCTTCGTCCCATAAGTAAAGATGCACTAACTATTTTGGTCTCTTAAAAACTTTAATTTATATATACATTTTTATTGATTTTTCAATTATATAAAATAGAAATCTCAAGTATTGTTTTGTACTGTATATATTTTCACATATTTTTTAAGATGTGAATTTTTTATTTAATTAAGTACCAATATTTTCAAATAAAATAATTTTAAAAGTGTAGGATTTCATCTCATAATTTGAATACAATATGGTTTTTTTAACCTAAACCCAAATTTATCCAAACAAAAAGTAATCCAAATCCTAAAAAAATGCATCTAACGGCAAGACCCAACCGACCTATTTATCGGCTCTATAAATAATGATACTTTCATCATCCTAAAATATCAACTTATCTTAAGAAATCACTCTGTTTTTTTATTAATATTGTACAACAAGTATGATTGACTAATTGATGGATATGAGAATTTCATTCAATCTGAAAATTTAACCTTAAAGTCAATTAAATTTGGAGATGGAATTAAACAAGTGTAGGAATGAATTCGAGTGGTGTTGAAGTAGGAGGATTTACCAAGGGTTTAGAAGGTGAACCATAGATTTTTTTTATCGAAGCACCATTTCTATTGTTGTCATGTTATGGCACTCAAATTTGAGTATAACCTAGCTGATTAGAGTAATATAGCTTTACCACTTCCTCTTTTATAGAACATATAAACTCCATAATATTTTTTAATAAATGAATTTCTGTTAAAATTTTTGTATAGTTCTTTTTAAATAAATTGAATAGAACATGAATTTAGTCAACCATCATAACTCATTCTCTTAATTTAGCTGGAGGAGTATTAACCAAAAAAATTACTAAAAACAATATTTTAGAAGTATTTTTTGACATATATTATGATATATTCTCTGCCCCAAACTAAGCCGCGTATTTCAAATTACTCCGTAGGATGTTTGTTTAAAGTTTTTTTTTAAATTAATTTATTTGAGAATTGGAGTGAAATAAAAAATTAGTATATATTTAAAATTATATAAAAAATAACAAAACAAGAAATGGCATACTTATATTATTTTATTAAATGAATAATAAGAATAAATAAAAAAAAGTTTAACTATGTAAAAAGACATTTTACTTTAGGAAGAGAGTAATTTTTATTGACAAATGTGAAGTATTATGCTACTATGTTATAATTTATGTATGTATGTGTGTGTGTATTTATTTATTTATTTATTTATTATATATTTAATTAAAATATATAACACGAAAAAACCAGACTAAAAAGTTTTAAAAAGAACAAAGTATAAATATATATACATAGGGTCCATAGTATGGGGAGTATTATTTGTCTCTCACCTAATAGGACACAACAATAGAGGGGAGAGACCCAAGAGATGATTTGGGGGTGTGTAGGGGCAAGCCACGGTGTGAGGGTTTTTTTTTAAAAAAAAAGGATGAACCTCATCTCCGAAGACCTACTTAGACCCGCAAATTATACCGTACATCCGGCTGTACGGTTAACCGTACAGCCGGTTAAATCCCTAAGGAGCGCAATGAGACGAGAAGAAGAGATGGAACGGAAAATTGACTTTCACCTACCCACCTTTGTGGCGCCTCTGTTCGTGCTTGTCGGAGAAGACACAAACGCTGCTGAAGAAGGGATGCTAGTTCCGTTCCTTGCCGGTGCTTTCTAATTGCAGGGTCATGGATCCATTGCGTTATAATTGCAAGAGAGGAAGCAGACCGAAATTTGAGGCTTTAAAGTACGTGGAAGTAGTACAAACCCTAGTAGGGTAAAGATTAAGTGATAGTGGAATGAACAATTAATTTAGTTCAATGAACACTACCTTATTTGAGAATAAGTAATAATTTGTTTCAGAATGAACATTACTTTATTCGTAGCTAAATATTATAATTGTATTAAATAAATGTGTGAAAATGAGTACTACATTATTTCAGAATGAACACCATACTAATTCAAAACTAATATATGTTGATACGAAAATGTGTACTATTTGATTTCAAAATGAATACTATTCAAATGTACCTATTTCTAGATAGGTCCGGATGTACCATATACACTCTCACTCAACCCAACTGAACTGTCACTAAGAGGATGTGAGGGTTTTAAAGGCTGGGATGTGGGGGGGTTTAAGGAGAGCTATTATAACCAAGCTGCGGTTTTATATTCTTCAAATAACTCACAATTACACAATGGCGAATATTATTGTGGACCTAACATCCACACCATTTTAGGTGGACCTTCATTGGAGTGTGGTAAGCAAACGCTTATTGCCCTGATAAACACTTTTTTTTGCAAAATAATATGCAAAAAAAGGTTATCAGGATAGTAAACATGATCAAATAAGAGAGTAGTAGATAAAGTAATGCATTATAGAGAGGAATAAGAGCAGGAATGAAAAATTTAATCACAGGTTCATAAATGTGTACTTCATCTACCAAACCTAAGAATAAATGGAATAGAATACGCAGTACTCAAATCGGAGAGGAGACGTCATCAGGCAATGGAACAAGCACACATTTATTCATTTGAAAAAGGACATTGACTTTGGTTTTTGGGTGCAAAGACGAAGAACAACGAAAGTTAACCGCAATCTTTGTCTTCAGTACACACACACACACATACACACAATAAAGTTCAACAATAACAATAATAGGCTGGCTTTACATCCTAATACTATTCATCTAATGAAACTTGGGATTTCATCACATTATGAGTAGTATTGCAGCACACACAGCTGAAGAAGGAATATGAATCAATCGCGTGAGCGAAAATATAATTGAGGTAAATAGAGCCTACCGATGATATCGGCTATCCGAAGCCAGCACCCAATTAGTAAATGTGCAACTTCTTAACCGAAGACAGCCGAATGTTCCTCTGATATTTGTTGGGCGGCGGATAGCTTCAATCATGTGCAGGTTAAGTCACCTATATCCTGGTTCGGCATTTCTCCATGGCCCTTGGGGCTGCAGAATTTAAGCACAAAGTTATGAGGAAAGACTTCTGTGGAACTGAAAATAACAGAGTGGACATTACCTATGTGAACATTAATTACTCACATAGAGAAATCGTAATTAGAAAGCGACATAGGATCCTTTTCTCATTATTTTTAAAAATGAAATTTCTGGATAGCAAAAGATGTGGGAAAATGATACTGCACTTGTTTTAAAAAAAACAACATCCATCTTGCAAAAATCTTACCTTTTCCCTTTTTGGACGTCCCAAAAGAACTTTGCACTAACTTTATTTCCTTGTACACTATGTTTGGTTCATGGAAATTGGAAGAAAAAGGAAATCTCTCTTTTTCCTCACCAAAATGGAAAGGAAGATGTTTACCTTCTTAAAGCATGTTCTAGGATTGGAAAGAAAGAGTTACATGTTGGAAGAAACTTGAAAAAACTGAAAGCAATTGGAAAAATAAGAAGAAACTGAAAAAAATTGGAAAAATTTGGGAAAAACTAAAACAATCTGGAAAAAACTAGAAGGAACTTAAAAAAATTACTTAAGCCTATTTTTCATATTATTCTTATTATAATTGTTTGTTATTATTATTACTATTAACATAATAATTATTATTATATAATTAACATTATTATTATTAAAATTATTATTATCATTGTTATACTCATAATCATCGTTATCCTACCTCATGTCTATTCATAATTTTATTTGTCTTCATCGGAAAAGAATACAAATTTTACCAAGACAACCAACAACTGAAGTTAAGCCCAAGGTGATGGTGTTCAATAAAATAAAATAGGTACGACACTTAGCTTTTACAATATGATTGGGTTGAAATCGATTGAACCCATTGTGTTTATGTGCGCAACACTTTACATATTATAGACAATAAAAACTAGATCAAATAAAATAAAGTACGGAGTATTAATTTTTTTATAGTTTTATTTTAATTATCAATTATAATCTTTGTTATCTAAATTTGTTTTCTTACACATTTTTTGGGTCATTTTTTCTTTACATAATGTAGTATGGAGTAGTATAATTATTAATTTTAAATTTAAATTATTGATGCATTCCACAACCCAATTTAGATTAAGAAAAAATAAGTCTTTCCATATTTTTTAGAACATAGTTTAGTGCTATGTAAATTAATAAAAAAAAGTTGCATTATTTATATTAAAAAGTGGAAGAAAAAAATAATTATGAGTGTGAAACACAAAAACAATGATATGGGAAAAAAATTAAAATAATTTATAAACTATAGTTATGAACATAATAATAATAATAATAATAATAATAATAACATGAAAAATACATCATTTTTAAAGTCATTTTCCATACTATTTT